CTCCACCCTTTGACCATGAAAGGAAGGAAGAGTAATTCACTTACCTGGGAAAACAGAAATGGCAGCCAACTGGAATTAAACGCAACCATACTTAATTAAGGGAGATGAGACTGGAGTTTGTTCTTTTACCGTCAAGTTGAGACAAACAACTATACAAGAACCAAGTAAGGTCTGTTCCTGTGAAGTCTGTCAATTACCACTTCATAATTAATACATAAAGAAGAAAAGAACTGCTATAAGGCATCAGAGCCCTAAGTTTTTAATTCAGTTTAAGAAGATGATTATTAAAGCACATTTATGGAAGAGAAAGGTGCTTTAATTGCCTAAAATCTACTGCAAACTTATGTTTTCTTTATTTAGTTATGCCAATACAGCACAAGCAAAATTAAGAGCACTGTACAAGGTAAAACGGTCCTTCCTGAAAAGTCCACAATTCAAATAAACAATGGTGAAAGCATGAAACAAAGCAAGATAATCCCTACTAGGTAACATGAAAATGAAGCACCACCCCAAGATCATTGGGAAAGAAAATAATTTAACTAAGCTGAAACTAGATTTCCTGAATAACAGAAGAGGTACCCTTTCTTTGTGATAGTTGTTCTATTTCATATTTATTAGCTAAATTAGGAGACAACAGTTCCTGGAAAGCTGACATAATAATGGGATTTAAGGGAAAAGACTCTAAAATTCTTGAAGAACGATACCAAGGTAGAGATTCTCTGAAGACAGAATTCAAAGCATATATTAACTATTGGCCTTCTAGCAATACTGTACGTGTTACTGCTCCGTAGCTACTTCATGTTTAAAATTCAAATGAACAGTTAAGAAAAGTGAAGCTCAGGATAAATCTAGAGCTTCTTTAAGAATAGGCAAGTACATAAGATGACCTTCTGTAAGAGCCTGAACATCCAAAAAGCACTAGCTATAAGATAAAAACCCTGTAATGTAGTTTTTCATTCACTGCAGAAGAGTTTTTCTGTGTGCATGATACACTGCACCTCACTTCAGCTGAATGTGTATCCTGTGCTGAATTATTCTAGGTACAATAGAAAAACAAAACACAGCTCTTAAGGAATTAAGTGCCATTACAATTCTATGGTAATTTTCACCAGTCAGTCATTTCTCTGCTCCCTTGGTTCACTGAAATGACCTTAAAATGAAAACCAAGGCATACTGTAAAATTATTTTCTGCAATGGTCAGAATATTTAACCAAGCAGATGCATAAGAAGTTTGTCAGCATCACATGACAGTTTTTCCTCACAAGTTATTGCTGATAATTTCATTGGTCCAAACAGCAAGGGATGCACATTATTTCATATAAATTTATTATTAATTATCACTTTAAAATACCTTGTTGACTAATAGTAAATTGAATTCTGCTTTTTTTATAGTTTCTTAAAATATAATCAAGAATGACCACTTTTCTTCTAATACTTGAATGTCTATAATCTGCTCCAAGAGCTTGTACTAGGCTTTTTTCTTTTGCCATCTGATAGCTAAACTCAGACCTCTAGAGGCATAATCATTTAACCACAAAGTTCACAGTAAAAAGTTCCTATACAATCATAGTCATGCTGAAAGATATGAAACAAAGCCATGTCAATACTCATGTTGCCTTTATTTACAGTTCATCTCCAGAGCCCTTTCAAACCAACACACTACTTTCTTGCAGGATTATATCATGCATTAGGCAGCAGCTGATAACATATGGAGTGATAGTGAATTTTTGCTTAATACAAATGCCAAAATGAATAAAGAAAAAAAAAGGATAGGCAAGTTGGTGGAAAAAACTGTGAAGCAAGTCAATTTTTTAATTAAAAATAAATTGCATACCAGAGAATGTTAATGAGCCAGAAGTCCCGTGAGACCACTTTTACACATTCTGCACTATTTTGATGCCCCTGCTAAAGAAAACTGAACTGTTCTCACTCAGCTTGTTCAAGACACACTCTTTTTTCAATCTCATAGCAAAACTTGAAATCTGAAAGTATCTTATCCATTTTACTTTACTTTCAGTCACTCAGAATTATCAAACTAGAAGTAGAGAAGACAAAATGACACGTCAAAGTAAAAATCTGAACAATACCTTTAACTTCTTCATAAATGCTATCATCTAGGGATTCACTGCTCACTTCTCCAACATCATCATATTCCTCCTCTTCCTTCTCCTCAGGAATAGCATTAGATCCTATATCTATGAAACCACAGTTTAGAAAGTTAACATTTACTAGAATTGAATGCTAAAGTAGAAATTCATGCAAAATGAAAACAATTCATCTTTTATGAGCTTGTATTTACAGTATTATTCTGCTTATTTTCTTAGTGTTCATAAGGAAGAGCTTCCATGCTAAATAATATTATTGGGAAAAAAACAAAAATCCTGCAAAAGGAGAAAAGCCATGTAAAGGCAACAATATGATTGAGAAGTAGAACAAGTCGGAATACCAGCTATACAAACATGACAGATATGTTAATGGGGACAGAAGTACCATCACTAAGCCATACTGGCACTAAGGGCTACTGTCCTACAAGCTGGCTTACCTTGAATTACAAATTGCACTTGCTGTACCCATTCCTCTGCTTCTTTGGGAGTGGCAGCTGTAAACTATTAAATGTTTATTAATAACTACTAGCAGTAATGACAAAAACACAAGCACAATTTCATTAGCAATAAAAAAAGATGGACTGTAGCATTCTCGTCACTTCCTCAAGAAACCATTAGTAATTCTTTTCATGTCTTCTGGTACTTTTCTTGCAAGGATGCTTCTTATAATGTACAGCTAATTTTGACAAATTTACGTAATTGAAGGAGAGGATGATGGATTTGAAACTCTGATCAGCAGCTGGCAGCTGTGCAGAAAAAAGCTGCTTCTCTTCATCAATGTCAAAGCCAGAACTGATGAACAAAATTTGCCCTTGACAATTAGGAGACACCCATGAATTTCTTCAGACTGCTGGGTACAGTTTTCTTAAAAATGTTCTTGTCAGATTCCAACACACTACCTGACAGCTTAATTAACTGGCTTTCAACTGCAATCTCAGATATTTAAAACTTATTAAACTTACATTTTATATTGATGTCTAGCTGATAAATCTGAATTGCACAGCTGATATGTGCCTTTACTTAGATTTTCCTTGCCAAGCCATGACCACTACAATATGTACTTAATATTGATATATATTTAAACTTTTTTTTTTACAATTTAATTATCCAAGAGATCACAAATACTACACAATAGCTAACACTGAAATGACCAATAGATAAAGATGATAGATTTCCTTGCTCTTGTCCAAAAAGATAATATTTGAACACGTACATATTTTAAATCAGATTTTTTTTCTAATATATGAATATACAATATTAGCAAGCAAGGGTTTCCTTTTTTTGTTAAGATGTCTGCAAAAGTTGTTTTACTGAAGTTTTAATTCAGTAGCTGGAATTGTAAAAGCTTTATCAATTTAATTTCAAGTCAACATAAAAAAAGTCCAACCTGATAAATGCGCTTATCAGGAGCGGAGATTTCAAAACAGCAATCTTTCTTTGCATCCTTCCGGAGACTATTATTCATTCTGATGGTGTAGCCCTCTAAGGCAAATTCACCTTTCTGTTGTTTGTCTGTTGGAGATAAAAAACAAAGTTAGAGCTTCATTTACAACAGTAAATGTAAGCGGCTCAGCAGGTTATCGATTATTCAGATTTTGTTTTCTATTTAATGAATTTTACCAAGAACAGGGAGGTTTTTTGCAAAATGATTGGGTGATGCTTCTGAAGATAAAGTTTTATTTTAAAGGAACACATACACAAAAGCACATTTGGAGGATGCCTAAGGAATTCCACAGGGGCATGTTTGCAGATCGAGGTCTTATTTATTAAGAAGTGCATGTTATGACACTTGTATCTAGGGAAAGCCAAGAACTGGAACTTGCAAGACACACTTTCTATAAATCAGTGCCTCTTTCAAGTTCAGTAAATCAATGGAAAAACCTGTCTAGCTCAGAACTTGTTGAGCTCCCTCCTGAACTAACCACTTCACTCAAAAAATAAACTTCAAACTTCTTCTAAAGCAATTGAAAAAGCTTCTCTTCACATTCTCCCACCTACTCCCAGATGTGCCTCCTTTTCCACATGGCAGAAATACAGAATGAATTTTGTTATAAATTCAGGCGTGTGTTCCAAAAGCATTTCTCTCAACACAGCAAATGTTTAATTAGCTAATAAAAGTACTGAGCCCTACCACAGTTTATTATGTAGAGCCATGTGGTTGTTTAAAGACAATTCTACTTTTCAAAGGTTCTGGTTTATAAAAGCATCACTTAGAACAGGCTTGAGTTTAAATACACTGCATGTTGGGCAAGCAGCACCTGTGCGCGCCTCAGCTCCTCAGACCAAACCCTACATCTGATTTTACGTGCTCTGGCATGTTATGGTAGATATTAAAAATAAACCAAAAAAGTAAATCAGTTTTGCAATTTCTGTAGATCACAGCACAGCATTCAAGTAAAGATAGGTATCATCAGTCACATTTTGCTCAGGCAGGCAAAGAACAAAGTGCAGTTGCAAATGAAAGAAAAATGCCATTAAGTGTGGGGGTTTTTCCACAGCAGAGAAAAGCATTAACTAACAGCAAGCATCAGACAACAGCAAAACTATTTTAAGTATTGCCTTACAGAACTTAGGTGCAAATTAAGCATCCATTACTTACGTTTCTCATGAAAAGGATAAAATTTCTATAATAGATAAAACAGGAAAAACTACCTTTTTCAACATAATTTCATCATCTTTCTGGAAATGTAATAGGAAAGCAAATCTTTTTTCTACTCCCAAGAGGGCAAGAACTGGCTAACAAAGGAACATGAACATCAAAGGATATAAGGGCAGTCACCATACAAATACTCTTGTTAGTAATCTCACATGCACATAGACAAATTCTTTGTCCTTCCACATTTTTATGAACTCTTACTCCAGGCAAGTAAATACCAAACAACACAATTGTATGAGAATATCCAGGGCACTGTTCTTTTTTCTCTTCTAGTCTCTTCCCTCACAGTAAGTTTTACTATGTCTTAATTAAGTACTAATGATACAGTGTCAATATTTTATATTTGCTCAATCCTCCACCCCTATCTCAAACAGCACACAGATGCAAAATTCATACAGTTGCACCAAGGCAGATATTACAAATAATAACTTAAAATAGGTTAACTAGGTTTCTGTTTAATGAAATTCATTTCTGCCTAGAAATTGCATTGTTCCCTCACTTGTGACCTCAGGGAGATGAGGAAGTGAAACACATTAATTTCTCACTCTCCATGATGGAGGTTTATCAAGACCCAAGACAGAAACATGCAGACAGAATACACAAACACCAGGTTCAAAAGGTAAAAACATTTTGTCAAGATAAAAATGAGGCAAGTATTCAAATTTACTCTCTTGGATTATTTCTGAGACTGCTTCTCTCTGACATGGATGGTCCCTTTTATGGTAATACAGTTTTACAGAGCTAATCTCAGATGATCTCTGTACTAGGACTGATTCTTTCAGAGAGCAATGCAGTTAAAACAGGGAGGTGCTGTGGTTTGCACTGGAAGAGGAACACTGTGCGTGGTATCCATATTGCATTTGATTGCTTTATTGTTTATAATGTCTTTGTCTTATCTCTCTGAACATGCCATTCCAGTGCTAATGAAAACTACCTGTATGCACCACCAAAAAAATATTCTTTCCTATTAAATTCTTTCACTGACCTTTACAGCAGGAGACTAGTTTACCACAGCTACTTTTGTTTTCAATTGTATATGCAGTAAAGTACCTCTAATTAAAGCCCAGTGTAGCATTACACATACGCTTAAAATACTGACCACGAGTCAACTTTAAGACGAGACACTTCACGTCCCTGACCCAGAACCCATTAAAGCTGAGGGAAAGACTCCGTATGCATTCACACTCCCTGTGGCAACAGGCCAGAGATAAGGCCTCGTATGTCCTAAGAAATGGCTCCACAAATACAGAATGGCAGGACACAAATCTGCTAGCACTCAGCTACATGCTCTGATGGTGCCAAGCAATAGAGACCTATAAATCCCAGTTGCTCTTGCAGAATACACCTTTCCAGGTAGGACTGGAGTTGGAGACTAACCCCATCACCTGATCCCTGTGGAGCAAACCATGCCCCATGGTAGCTGTTTGGTCAGGTACAGTAGTGAGGTGCAGACTTGAAAGCAGGGCCATGTTGTGATCATCAGACTGAACAATCACCCTGACTTCATCTCTCAGCAAAGGCCAGCAGCTAAATAGGTGTGCAGACAGACTTGGGTTTCAGTTGAAAGGTGTCATGTGAACATATTGCTGCAGTGACTTCTGTGAACTTTCACATTCAGAGTTACATTGTTTACATCAGAAATATTTTATGGAGACTGTACTTACAGTAGAATTAGGGGCTTTTTATATGTTAAAAATTTTTGAAGCTTTCAGGATTTTACTTGGAGACTTAAAATTAAAATATAGGGGTTTTTTATGGTGAGAGCCTTAAAAGAAGTTTCAGGAAGCACATTTATATCATAGAGATTTCACTTTCATTTTGAACCCCCAACTCAGAACTGGAGTTTTTGCCTAGGCAGGAATACAACAGCATATTTAGGAGGAACTAGGGAGAGACATGAACAACTTCCCTGAAGAATAACATTCTTTCTGTCTCCTCTTTTCTCAAGATAGGGCTTTGCAATTCAACAACTGGAAACCCTTGTTTCCCAAACACCAAACAAAACTAGAAAAGCATAATGCTATCAGTCTTGCAAAAACAAAAACAATCACAAAAATCATCAAGCATATACTGTTGCACAACTTCTGCTCTTATCATCTCCTCCTCCTCCTCCTTCCTTCTCCTCAAATCAGGCACACAACAAAAAATAAGTCTGGTTCTTTGTAGATCATACTGCATGAGGAATTTAGAGCTGTAAAAAGAGTGTAACAGAGTGGATATTCAGGCACTAAATATTAAAAAAAAAAGTCAAAGCTAGTACATAGATATTTGAGAGAAATAAATATGGGGGATATATTTAAAATAGAAGAAATATAGATCTAATTGAAATTTCAGAGCTACTTTAAACATTTTTCTTACATATAAACTTTATTCATCCTAAAAATAGTTAATTACTGTTAACAGAAACAGGGCCAATATTATATTGGGGAGGGGGGAGGGAAGTCTCAAGGGAAGCAGAAAAAAAGGGTTTTGAAGTAACCTTGCATAAATGAGTCCATGGGAACTTTTAAAACAAAGAAGGGTAAACCTTCAATGGGGTCTTGAAATGATTGGGTTGTAAATTTGAGGCCTAAGGCAATGTGCCCATATTATTAGCACATGTAAAAAGAATTAGTGCATTCTGAAGAACAGAGAGGACTTGAATAGTAGAAAGACATTACAAAGAAATAAGGAACAAAGGCAAACAGAAAGATTTCAGAGAGTGATAAAGTATTTATAGATACTATTAGAATCTATAATTTAACTCTCTTCATCTTGAAATTAGGAACCTGTAAAAGATCTTATGGTTTACATGGCTTCATGCTAAATGTAGTTTCACATACTTTTCCATGTGCAGGATGTCTGCTTTCTAAAATTAGTGTGTGTCAGTATCTCCAAAATGGTAATCCTTTTCCAGCTTTTGTAACTGTCCTTTCCAAACGTATGCATAGGATTTCTTCCCTTTTAGATAGCCAATGTGAAATGCAATTTATTTTTTTCCTTTCCTTTAATCTAGTCCTCTGAAAAACTGACATTTAAAAAATGAAATGGAGGCAGTGATCGAAACTCACAATGTAAGACACCAGTATGTTTAGATTCAGCTTGCCTATGCTCAACAGTTATTTTTTAAATAACACAATATTAATGGCAAGTGTGCCTCTCAAAGTCTGAATTTCACATTCTCAAAGCAGAAGATTTAGTTCTCATTAGATATGTGTCTTTGATCACCATCATCCTGCTACAAAAAAGTCCCATTGAATATTTACAGTTCCTGCAGATTTCAATTATGGCTTATGTCAAAAGTAAAGTCTAAACTAAACAAGGACTTTTGCCTTTCCTATGTGGTTCTTCAGAGAGGGAGGACTTAAGAGAAAGAATTTTATCGCTAAAAGCAAAATGATAATCCAATAGCTTTTCATTGGGCTTGTATATCTTTCCTCACTCCAAGAAGGGGAATTTGCAAACTTAGCATGTGGCAGTAACCTGGTTAGGTGAGTCACTAGGACAGATTTGCAAATGTAGTTCTGCCTTGGCTTCCCTCTCCATTAATATTTTTCCATTACCAAATTCTTCAAATAAACAAAACACAAAGTAAAATAAAACCCCTCTTTAGCACAAATACAAGTATTCCAGTCATTGGCCTGACCATTACTATCTTACTATTCAGAGAAATAAATTGTCATGCCCATGCAAAAAACTAAGAATTAGCTACTAAAACCAATTTTTTAATTAGAAATTAAATATACTCAGACTTTTCTAAAAGCCTCTGAATTATCCCCCACCCCTTCAACATCATATTACTAGCACGCAAGCAGATACCATTTTCAAGTTATAAAAATGAAAATAAATTTTTAGTGCCCATTAACAGGGGAAAGAATTACCATGATATTATCAATTACTGTCTTGCTAAACATTTAGCTGATCTCTCCAGTTTGCTGAGACAGAAGGGCATATAACATTGTGGCCTATTGAGGAAGAAGTAATGAAGCCATTAATTCATTCATTTATAAAGCAACAAATTAACTTCCCCTCTTCACATGTACTTTGAGGTCTCCAAGGTTAGCCACCTAGGTGCCTGAGCACACAGAAATTGCCAGAGATCACATTTTAAAAAGTGTCTGCAAACAAGGTACCTCCCTCAGGATGCAACTGCATGGAAGCAAAGATACATGAGAGACTATAAAAGATTTGTGGAAAGAAAGACTATAAAAAGGAGGACCAGGCAAGCTTGTGGAAATCCAAGCCAATTCTAACTTTTGAATACACTCCTCTGCAATCTTGTGTGCCACATGCTGGCAACACATACTGCAGCATAAGCACAAATAAATATATGTGCCCTTCCTGTAATACCTATTTTGGACATGTAAGTATTAGGTCAAACCTTTAAACCTTGTTCCTCCATCTACTTCACGTATTGATCAAGGAAAAAAAAGGCAAGTGATTTGGTTAGACCTCTCTATTGCAGGGCTAAATCCCATTGTTTCACTATGCAGTGCTGCACCAAAAGTGCACCACAAAAATAGAAGAGGAAACAGGAAAACAAGACCTTCATTAGCCTCCAGGCATCACAGCTGTTAAAATGATGCTTGTAAGCTCTTAGGTGAACACATATACATAAACAGAGTCATTTAATGTATTTTCATAGGCTTTAGCTTGTAGTGTATTTTCCTGGACTAGGTCTCATTTTTCATCATTCAGGTCTAAATTAAATTATTCTGAAACTTTTTTTACATGTGTTCGTGAACTTTATACACTTACATACTTCTTGCCTTCCCAATGTAAAAAGTGTTTTAGAAACAACAAATGTACACAGCCAAATAAAAAGGCAGCTTATAGCCTCACATTTAGCATTACTACATTACATTGATATATGAGCATGAAAATCAAATCTTGGCCAGCAAAATACACACTGTACCCAACAAAAAATATCCTTCAGATTATTCACCTATGTGTCCTGTATCAAAAACATACACCAAGCAAAACAAGCCAAAAAAGACCTAGAAATAGCTGCTGCTTCTCTGCATTATGTCCCACAACACACAGGCACTAGCACTCCATTACCCATTAAAAGTGACATAGGCAGCAGGTCTGAGCACATGTGGAATCCCCCTCTCCCTTTTCTCTTCAAACTGGGTTCACAACAACAAGGGAGAATTCTCCTGTTGTGTGAATTAGCCCTGGAACAAGTCAGAAAAGAGGGCCCAGCTGATACAAAACATCTGCAGACACTGCACAGGCTAGAGCAGACCAGCATCCTTGGGACAGAAGCCATCCAAACAATTCAGGAGATGGCAGCACTTTGCATTAAGCCACCCAAATGCACACTTCATCACTGCTCTGAAGCTGGTAAGAACTCACCATCGTTTTCTTTGTGGCCCAAGTTATCTGGTATAGCATCAGAGGACACAGTAAAAGAAATGTCAAGGTTTATCACTGGGCTGGCAACTAAACAAATGACAGACCCTCTATATTAACCCCACTCCCTTCCTAGATAGAGAAAGAGTAAGGGATAGAGACTTACCAGTTGGAAATAAAACTATACAGTGATGAAAAATAAAATATGTGCAAATACATACAGAAACTAATACTGTGCTCCTACCACTCCCCACTGAGACTGCTGGACAGCCCTTAGAAAATCCTGGACTGGACTCCAGGAGTCAGTGGGAGATGGGAACTGGATTCAGGAACACCGAGATTGGTATCACAGGCAGAAGAAAAAAGTCCTCCCAGGACACTGGCCACAGGTGCAGAGTCTGACCCTCGTGATCCCTCAGATTTACACGGAGTATGGGATGGAATATTTTATTTGGTGAATTTTAGGTCACCTGTCTGGTGATCCCACAGGAGGATCACAGGTATGATCCTTTTCCCTCCCTTCCATTTCTACCACATATGCAGTCTAGCAGAACCAAGCAGTGACCTTGGTTCTGCATACCATTCTCCAGCAATGCTTATCAATGTTGAGCTTTATCAGTCCTTGAAGCAGACACTGACTGAAAAACATTGTTATTTCAGAAAGTTCAGTCACTTAGAAGAAACTTAACTGAAAAGTAAAAATACTAAAAAAAAAAAAAAAAAAGATACGGATTCTGTCCAAGCTCAAACCAGAACAAGAAGGGCCCCAATACAACAGTAGCACCCCCCTACAACAAGTACCACTGTTGGCCATAATTGTGGGAGTAAAAACAGTTCTGGGTTCTTCCAGTAACAAAATGTCAGATTTCCTCAAGATTGTCTCATCACACACCCCATCCTGCTTACAATGCGCAGCTAAACAGCAGCATGTATGTTCACAACCATCAGCATAACAACTCCGTTTCAACAGCAAACTATTTTGCCATGGAACTACACACCAATCCCCAGTATCAGCACAATGATGGCAACTTGCTTCTGCTCTGTAACAGGCACCTCTATGTACTCTGGCATCAAAAGGCTCAAATCAGCCTAGGAAAAAACATTATTCAAAGGCAAATTCTGTTGGTCATGCCAGATCAGCAAGACAAAACAATTCCACTACTCTGAGCTAGTTTTTCTGCACTAACAGCACCACTCCCGTAGAGGTAGCCAGAAAGTTATGCAGCTGATTTTTTTGCTTTCTCCATGGGCTACTGTTGGGAATCCAGCCATGCCTAATACAACTCCCAGAAGATGCTCCATGGGCTTAGTCCCTCTCTCACATCACAGGGTTAAAGTTAGGAGCCTCTCCTCCAACCAATCTGCAGGCTAGAAAAGCTGCAAGTGTGTAAGCCAAAGCATCTGTCTACAGATTCACTAACAAGAGATTCCACAGTGTACCACAGTGAATTGCTAACATGACAAGCCTGCCACATGCCAGCAAACATGCTTCCACATATCTTAACTTTCAGCGTGAGTATTAGAAAATACAAAACAGCCTTGATAGTGCAACTATTGCAAAAGAAAAAACAAAAACACAAAGATTGATGGAAAAAGGGCAAGTAAGCAGTTTTCCTGCCTGAATCCAAAGAACACACTAGAAAGCTTGAAGAATCGTTAGCATAAACACAGAAGAAACAAAAAGTGAAATATAAAAAGTTTTTCCCTTTTTTTTTCAAAAACTAGCAGATGAAAAGCCAAATATTTAAAACCCAAAACAATCTACAAAAAACTAGCCATATAATCTGACCAACAAAATTGCCATTTTAAAGTATTAGATAATGTGCAAATATATAAAAAAACAGCGTAAGAGATTTTCCAGAGAAATAGATTATTATTGACCAATCAGTTGTTTCACCACACCTCCTCAAAAATTGTGAATAAAGGTTGTTTGGTTTATGTTTTTGAGGCTTGATCAATCAGTAAATCCCAAGGAAATTAGCAAAGAAAAAAAAAAACATTTAGCAGGTGTACTAACAAACCTTCAGAAACAGAATATGATGGGAAATTGTAGCAGGATGAAAACTAGACTTATACCCGTACTTTACTCTGTTTACAGAGAAAAAGGATGAGTTTAAATGAGCCAACATATTGAAGAATGAAATAAACTTGATCAATTTAAATTAGGTTTTGAATAAAATAATACAAAATAACTAATCTCAAGTAGGGTCACACAAACATAAGCAGAAGAAAAAAGCTTCAATGGAAAGCTCGCCCAGGAATAAGTATTTTTGGAGAAAAAAAAATCAACCTACAATTGCACTTTTAAAATTTACTGATATATTTATGTATCATCTGTTTTACTCTTCATTATCAAATACTTTTGGCACATAATCTACAGGATATTTGACTTCAATTTTTAAAATTCAAAGTGATATGCAAACATTTATGCCAGATTCTTTCTACACCGGCCATTAAAAGTAATTTTCAGAAGCTAGCCTTAGTTTTCATGACTGGCTTTTAGTTAAATATATTACTTAATTTCTAGTGTTTTCAGAACATCAGCTATTTAGAAAGGAACATGGAACTTCACTATGCAGTTTTTAGACTAACATTTTCCTGGATATAACCATCTCTAAAGAATTCAGAAGGTTTTAATTACTAGGTGTTTTAAAATTAATAACCTATTTGGACAGAAAGAATTTTCTGTCCAGTAAATTGAGTACCAGCATACTGTCAAACCTAATAGCTAGCTGGTATTGGTGTACAAAATGGCTTCTTAAGTAACTTACTCTTTTTTCCTCTGTTTCCCTGCTTAAGAAAATGAGCACATCTCTTAGATTTTGAAGAATATTTACATATTGTTAACATTTACAGCACTCTTTAAGAACCTACTATTCTTTTAAAAGTGTTGTTTGCTTTCTTAAAATTACCTTAGTTTCAGAGTTTTCAACTCTACTAAAGCTTTCATATTATCCTGTACATTAAAAGATCATCTTTATAGCTTATAATCAGAATTACCTTTGTCACTTCCGTAATAATAGAAGACCGTCTTACTGATAGCACACCAACGCTTTTGCCATTCAAAGCCAAGGAAACTGTGGTCTGCAATTAATATAATTTGTGTTATATCACTTCAGGGTATTATTTAACACAAATGTTTTACTTCTTTTCAAGTGTGAGGAAAGAGGGAGGAGACAGAAAGAGTGCTAAGAAAAGGCAAAAAAAACTGGTTATGAAGAAATGTACTGGACTGAGATGGAAATTAGAAACAAAAATTGGTGGTTAAAAAAATGGGAATTTGAAATCATATAAAGAGAGAAGTCATGTGTAACATTAAATATAAGGAAATAATGAACAACTTCCTAAATATTTCCTAGAGTTATTGCAGCATTAAGTGGGTATTAAAGTGACAATATAAGATTTATTGAATCAAGGTAAATATTGACTGAACCAAAGCTGAGATCAATATTTGCCCTCTTGAAGGAAAATAAATCTTGATGCTCACTGAAACATGAAGTCAACATATGGTACTTTTACATACATTCCTAATGTTTTCTTCAAAAATATCTGAAAGTCTCTGAATTATGGCTGACAGTGGACTTTCACAGAATAATTTTTTTTTCGTCAATAAAGAAATAGGATTTTCTTTTAATACTACAGGAGCTATGTGCTGTGCTTCTTTGGCATAATAATGCTTCAACATTTCTTCTATTCCATTTTCTTTATCACTCCTGTCTGAAGTTATCTGTGTGTTTAGCATCAAATACTGATACATACAATTCCCAGATATAAAATATGCCCTAGATTTCACAAAGAGAGGTACTTGCCTTTTCTGCGTTTTTCGAGGTACCCAGACTTCAGAACAAAGTGAAGATCTTGAGCTGCAATAGGAGGAAACTGATTCCCTGAAAGAAAAATAAATTCTGTAAAGAGCTGCTTTTTAAGCAAAGTACTATAGTAGCATTAAAAAACTATGGATTTTACACTCAATATGCAGGAGCTACTGGGAAAAATTATTATAGTAACTGCTATGCCAGATTATTTTAAATTTTAAAATCCTGTAATTACAAATGTCAGAGCTGTTGCTGCTGCCTTCACCACTTCAGTAAGAAAAAAATATGGCTGTGTAGCAGGCCCAGTGAGTCTTGGAAAGAAAAGTATATAAATAAGCTACAGCAACTTAGAAAGCATTTATTTGTGCTTTGGATATAGTCTGTAAAGCAAGTTGGATAATGAAAACAGTGAGCTCTAAAATGTGCAAACAATACCAATTCAACAATTCAACACAACTAAATCAAGAATGTGGTTTTCAGCTTTGCACAAAAACATCTTGGGACAACATACAAGGTGAGCACCCTCTATTACACTGTCTACAAAAAAACAGAAATCAGAGTAAGTGATCATAACAGCTGGTGCCTGTTGACAGGCCTTACCTAATTTGCACTATGACACAAAAGTACTGCCTGCAGGATCTCTAAGGTGATACTGGATAGACCAAAGACCTTGCACGCAAGTCTACAAAACTGTCATTCTACAGATACTCATTTTAGATTTAGAATGTGTAGAACATGGCTGTATCTGCAAAATAGTGAGTATGTTCCACTATATTTTTTTTCCTTTGTCTCAACTGCTAACTCATAGCTAGAAGCAAGACTTCAGTCAACCCTGTGTTGACTTAAAATAGAAATCTACATGTTAAAAATTACATCTTCTGTCCTGCATTCTTTCCCTCCTAAAACAACAAAATTTTTATTATTTAAACAGAACTCCTAGTATTAAGAAGTATGTTAGATATGTCAAATAATGAACATGCATATACATGTCATACTGATTACCACAAGCAAAACCAAAACAGAACAAAAGCTATGTCTGTGCTGCTGGGTTTTTAAGTGCATGTGAGTACCACAGCAAAGTTCCTACTACTTCTTATCATCAAATATTCATATGAGACACCGTAGGTAGGTGGCAAGTTTATACAGCAGCATTTATTCATCAAAATATATGTAATCTCATTAAGTTCTACCAATATAAACATACAAAAAAGGACTGATATCAGTAGACAGCCTCTGTGCTAAAAAAACACAACACTTCAAGCTATGCAGGGTGGGTTAAAGATCAATTGCCTGACCTTGAACCAGGAATACTGTCTTCAGAAAGTGATGCAAACTTCCTTGATTTTTAGGTTGTCCCTTAAAATAGAACTATTTTTTTAATCAGTGTCCACAAATGAGTTTGTTTATGGTGGTCTTACTTAAATGCAGTTGTGAGAGGTAAAATACAAGAAAAAGAGATAGGACCTTGCAGAGAGTTTTCTTTCTTAAAGTATGAAAATACTCAAAATGAGAATGCATTCCTTAAATAATACAACCTGGTTTTTAGACAAAAAATTATTTTGCTGGATACCATAAGGAAGTGGATAGAATTTTATATACATTGACATTTCTGCTGATTTTTTTAAAAATTAATATTATTTTTAAATTTTAGGACTACACTAGTTATTATTTCAGCTTCTATGGAATTCTTACTACTGTGTTAAAAATAAGAGGTAATGGCCCCATGTACAAGCACTTCAAAATGTTGCAGCTGTGCCTCTCCGCTTGATAACATGCAAACACTGCACAATATGAAATGAGAATTTAACATAAAGACATTCACTGTCTGGTACATGGTAAGTTTAATAGTTACTTTAACAGATGATCTAATAACGATACGAGTGAGGGAGGTGGAGACTTTTAGAAATATACATAGTGTATTGCTTTATGTCGGTCATTGGGAGGCATCAGTGTGCAACACTTACAGCTTTACCTCAAACAGGGCTCATTTTAGAACAGTGCATCCCCACAGATGCAGGTGACAAAGCCTACTTAAGCAAACAAACAAAAACAGTCCACTCCTAATTTTTTTTAGTTTAAAAACTTCAACAACTACTTGGATCTAATTTTGTTCATTACTGTTTGTATCAGTTTGCTTTTTGATAAGAAACTTGTCAAGTGATCATGTAATGAACAGCCCAATCAAATGGGACATACCATCCCAAACAAGCATGTATTTCAAAGACCTCCATATGTTCTTTTGCCTATAGGTAGAAGCTCATCTAAACAAACTACTTCAGAGAACTAAATGTCAAAATTTCAAATCACTGTCAGTTTTGCTGCTTTTGCCAAGACAAGTCAGGATACATTTGATTATGGCATTTTCTAAAACTACATTCACTTTGTATAGGGCACCTAAAGCTCACAAAGAAAAGAACCTGCATGAAAAAAAATGTAGTCTTCCCCTGTTCTGGTGACACTGCAGAAAGAACTCTTCCTCCTGCCCTCAACCTGTAAATAAGCCAGTTTTTCTCTTCCTCAAAGCAACTGAGATCCTAACTCCACAAAACAAGCAGCAGCTGGTCAGCCCCACTACCACTCACAACCTTAAGCAGAAATAGATCACATACATTATCATCCTCCTGTCAGAGAAGCCTGGGAACCACAAAATACAACAGAACTTTAAATGGACAGATACAAGAGGGGGACCTGGTTGTAATATCCCAAGACACAGCTGTATTTTAAGGAAATGGAAGGGAAATAGAATAATTCTATGAAAAAGTATAAATCTAGCTATACTCCTTCTTTCATTCCCCCATACATTCAAAAGCAAGAGGAGAGGGAATAAGTAGCATGAAAAGCATAAAGAGAAACAATCACCTCATCTCAGATTCTCTTTAATGACAGGTGTTGTACATATGTGGTGGGAAGAAGGCACAAACACAGATATGCTCTTACTGCTGTACTGCAACAAAAACAAGGGGAAGAAAGGGAGAATTACATCTTCCCTCCAGCATCTGCTTAGAGTCAGCATGGAAGACTCCTTAAACTGTGTCACACTTCCACCTTTCTTCTGTTTCTATTTTTTACTGCTTTGCTCTTTTCTGCATCTCAAACTGGATTTAGAGTGAATTGCAATCCCTAGATGTGGGAACTCCCAACTGAATGGTTGCGATTTGCACAGCAGGTTGGGATTTGCTTTCAGTCAAAATGTTCCTTCCCTGTTTTTTGAAACAGATCAGGCTTGGCACAAATATAAAAAAAAATATCACTAAAGCAGCACTTTGTTATAGTAAAGCAGCATTTGTTTACATTACACTAGCAGCTGAGATCAGAGACTCAATAGTTGACTACTGCATTGGACTCTGAGTAAGATGGCTCCTTCTACAAAGGATCTATTTAACACAGAGAAAGACTGCCAAGAAAGAAGGCACTACTGATTTTTAATACAGAACTCTGAAGCCAATTCAAAAACTTGCTTCAAATTGCATACACTTTACAGTTTAGAGCTCTGAATTCCCAAATATTATACTACCATGCACTGCCCAGGACAACTTCAGGATGAAGAAAATTTTTCCTTTCTTTCATGAATGCAAGTTAAATGGCCTGAATTTCAGTTTCTTCAATTTCACTGGAGATGGACATTTAGAGATGCAAGAAACTTGCATCCTAAGGATGCAACACAGCACCTATTGCTACTAACTTTGAGTGCTTCCGTGTTTGTTGCTCAGATACTTAAGGTCAAACTAATTATGAGGCCAGAGCAAAATTTTTCTCTCTAAACCGTAACAGTAGAGACCACCATGTGTTCCTATCTACCTACTTACCCCTGTATAGTCTGTTTCCAGATATGTCTCAAGGATTTAGAAATAAAAAATGTTTAATAAGCCCAAACTCTTTCCTGCTCTCTCCTTTGGTACACTGTAATTTCTGATGCCAGTTTAAAATACTAAAGAGTAAAGTGGTACTGTGAGTCAAGACGTGCCCTATGGCTTGCAGCTGTGTGAGCTTAAAGGCTGAGAAAGGTACAATAATTCCTTCTGTGTACTCTTCTAAATGTAATTTCTGCTGCATCATTGCCTTGACTGTGGTGGAAAAGCACAGAGTTGGGGATACAAAAAGAAGTCTCCTTTCCATTTCCGAGTTTCTATCTCAAAAAGATCTTGAACCTTATTCTTTTGATGTGAAAATCAGATCAATACTATCCAATATTTGGAGAGATTATCTTGCATCCCCAACACACCCGTATAAAATGAAGGTACATCTGCTTAACATTAAAGGCTTTCATTCTTTCTTGACCACCCACTCACAAATGAATCTCCCAGAATAATTTATCTTCTTATCCTGGTGGGAATTATTTAAATGTACCCCAAAATGGAATCTCAAAACTACGCTCTACATACATATTCCCAGACTGATGTGTACAAAGGCCAAAGACCAGATTAAAATATTTATGAGGATTAAACCTTCAAGTTTTAGAGAAAAGTAAATTACACATATAATACACCAGGCTCTTCCTCTTGGTTCTAGGCACTCCTGTGCCAAGTGAGCAGCTGGCAGTTATTATAACGCTATTGCTGCCAGGCTAAAAATTCCTCCAGTGAAAAGAAAGTGAAATGTTCTCACTCAAGCATAAAACCAGCTTTTCTACCAGTCATGCTTTGACTTCAGAACCAACATGAACATTATTCATGTTGGTGTATTCATGCACAGGTTCTACTGCACAAATCCAGTGCATCTTGTGGCTTCAGAAAGACCTTATTCTATAGCTTATGGCACGGCTACAATTTTTGCAACTTGGTAATCACAGTCAAAAGCCTGAATGATGTAATTTTGCACCCGACTGCAATGGTGAATTTGGCCCATTCATTAAAAACAGTTTCATCAGTGTCACTTCACATGAGAAACCATAAAATTAAATCATTATGCATGACATTTTGGTTTTTGGAGGACTCAATGGTGTGAAAATTTAATTCTGTTTATGACATAAATAAAACAAAAGCAGGATTTTATTATTCTGCACTGTATACCAATAGGAATATTTTTTATTTCTTCAATGTGGGCTAAGGGATACATAAAGCAAGGAATAATTA